ATAGGTGATTAAAAACCTGTCCCAGAGTACTACAAACTGCAAAGATGGGGGCATCTACAAACCAGGCAGCTATCCGAGCACCTGTCCTATCTCACAGGAGACACTGTGACTGGCTCGAGTAAGCTATATTCTTCTTTCTCTAATAAGCACAAAGTGATGAAAGATGACTACAATGCCTGTACTAAAAAAGTTAAAATACGGGAATTCTCTGAAAGGAGAATTTGAAGACTTATAAGAGAATGGCTATTTAAAAACCCTATTTTGACCCTCTCTAAACTATCCCATTTAAGTGGAGAGGCAAATTAGCCCCCATAGGCATTTATATTTAGAATGGGCTGAGAGAGAGGAAGAGCCCACATTTGAACACTTAAGGTCTCTGATATGCCCATCCATAAATCATTTCAGGGCAAAGCTGTCACCCTGCATCTTCTGCTCTGCTTTTTAAATGGATGGGACCCCAATATCCCATTCTCCTCAGGGTAGGGAGTGGGGGTGGGAGATTCATGGAGAACAAAGAATAGTGGTTTCCTTTTCCCCCTATTCAGGACAGATGAAGTAAAAATATCTGCATCGAAATCTTCATCCACTCTAAAATACTAAATTTCAAACAGGTAGACTGAACAATAATGATTGAGAGCCCCTAAATCCACACAAAGATGTATCTATTAAAAGAACATGAAAATGAATTTATTAAAGAAAGGCTAAGTGTGTGATTGATTGCCTTCACATGTGCTTTCATTTTTAAAGCTACATTTATTTAGTGATTGCATCCTCATAAAGCAAAATCTGGATTAACAGGGGAAATTCTAATTTTTTTTAATCCACCAAGACACTGTTTTGAATAAAGAAACAGATTTACAGTTAGTAAGAATGCACAAATTAAATATATTTTTAAAAGCCAGCTATTTTATCCTTTCAGCATGGTTACTAAGGCTCCTTTGTGTCTACAAATTTCTCAGGGTGGTGCTGTTGCCAAGAAATTCTAATTCATGACAAGGTTTTCTGCAAATTGGGGACAGTGGCAAACCTGCGGATGGACAGATCCTACAGTTTGCTTTGTTTTTCTGCCTGAGAAAGTACCTAGGTGTTTAGGCCTGGAGAAGGCAGGCAAAGGTAAGATCATACAAAGGGAAAGGAAATGTTAGTCGTAGACTAAATCCCATCCCTGGTACCAGGAGGCTATTCTTGGAAGGCAAGGATTTCTTTCTGTAGGTTTTCCCCTAGAGATGCCTCCTACCAAAGGCCCTCATAAAAAGTGTTTCAGGGTGCCTGAAACCAAGATGAAATTGCAGTGTTATGGGGACACTTTAGTCCTTACAGTGGCCAAGTATGCCATTATATTAAAACAATGGGGGAATGGAGGAGGAGGGAAGAATGTTCTATGATTTATTTATTTGTTTCCAGTAGCAGTGGAAAATTTTCTCCAAGCAAAAGGGAGGCCTGAAACTGACCCCATCTGCCAATTATGAATCAGCATTAACAATGAACATAAATGCAGAAGAGATTTCAAGTAAACATGCCATCCATGCCCCTCAATGACATGAAGCAAAGTGAAGTCCAGGTAAGACCTAGAGCATCATTACTTGACTTGTACTCAGGGAATAGCCAGCTAGGTATAATGAATAAATAAAAGTCTAGAAGTCTTTTAAATAGTCTGCAAAAAAAAAAAAAAAAAAGTATTGTGTCAAATCCTTTTTATTCTATTGGCAATAAAAGTCATGAATGGGTCTCCCTTTATCTGCCATCAAATTATACCCTATAATCTCCTCCAGCTTCTGTCCTACCCTTGACTTTTTCCTACTTTTGCTCAGACAGCTCTTGGAAATTTTCCTGCAAGTTTCCAAAGAGCTTAAGGCTGGTAGCCTTAAGAGTTGTGTCAGCTGAATTCCATAAAATAATAGACCACATAAGCACAGTGTAATTTACAGTTATATGACAGGGAGAGATGATGTTACTTGGGCCAAGTGCTTAAGTATGCAGTCAGAGCCCAGGAATGGAGAGCTGTTAATGTGGGATGTCCATTTGGGTTTTTAAATTATACCAGCAATGATTTTTCAGAGTTGGAGCAGTATGCAGCTACAGCATCACTGCCTGAAAATCCAATGTCAAAATGATAATGATCTCCAAGACAGGAGGTGGCCCTGTCATAGTCCGGGACTTTGTCACGGGCTCATTGACACAGGAAATTATCCTATTTCATAAGTTTGAAATAAAATCCCCCAAATAGTCCATCCTCAATTACAAATGCACAAATGTTCTTGGGTTTATCATCCTAGACACTCTTTCCTCTAGAAACCAAATCAGATTATGTGGATCTCAGTATTTCGCTCCTCTCCCCGAGGCCAGGTACACTGCTCACTTTAAGAAGAACATCTAATAATTACTCCTCATTTGACCTCTAAAATCTGATTACCCCACAGCATCAGGAAACTTCCTCCTGCCTGGGGTTCTTTGCAGCAACCTTCTCAAGCTGTTTTGAGCAAAGGAGTCTCAAAATTTCACCATCTGATGGTTGATTTGGAACCAAGAGTTGCATATAATCACTCCCCCCACTTAGCAGTAAGGGGGTTCAGAGAGGGGAAGGAAGGAAGAGATGGTGATGGAGGCTAGAGATGTTGTCATCAATGTGAACTTAGGGTCCTAGTTACCTTTATATAGAGAGAGCAGTTGTGGCTGCAGAGCAGTCATGGAGTGGTACCTTGTTTATAATTGCTCACCCACAACTTATGTTTCTGTACAGACTATGAGCAAGCCTCCGAAATAATTTGGTAAAAGGTTTGAGAATGAGAGCAGTTGGAGGGAGTTAAGGTAAAAAAATAAGGAAGGGGTTCAGAGGGACGAGAATTCCTTTGCCTGCAGATAGAAACTAAGCTAGAGGTTCCTTGAAGGGGGAGGAGGGGAAGGGAGGAGGAGGAGAGAAGGGAGAGCAGAGCTGGCTTCAGAGGAGACAATAGAGCTAATCTATCCCCTAATTGTCAGGCCACTGATGTTTCTTTGCAGATCTAGAGTTTCTCCTGGAGGGTCTAGCCAGATCTAGAAAAGCAGGTTTCCTCTGGAGAGGCCTTCCCCCAAAGCAGGCTTTACTACTGCGAAAACTTGAACCAAAACAAAGTTGTGTGATTCATCAGGAGGGAACGTTCTAACAAATAAAGCCAACTTTCTTCCCTCCAACACTGCTTAACAGTCACAAACAAGGGCTGCCTTGGGCAAGCTGACTAAATCAACAGATTCCCTTCCCTAACCTGTCTAGACAGTCGTTAATATGCAACTGATTCGACACCAATGAGCTGATAGTGTGAAATGAAGGCGATTTAGAAAACGAAATTCTGGCAACATTTTAGTTAATTAGCATGCAAAATAAAAGAAGGAAAAAGATCCAGTGAGATCCTTCATGAGATAAAGTCTTGTTAAGAACGAGGGAAAGAAGGCAATGAAGAAATGCTTTATGCTACAAATGTGTGAACTGTGCATGTATTTAGACAGAGTAGAGAGTATCTGCCAGCATCTTCAGACAGGAATGCATGTGAGGACACACAGACACCAAAGGCCAACACCTGAAGGAAATCTTGCAGCTTCTAACCAGAGAACAACAACTAATAACAATGGTACAGTCAGAGGATCAGCTTTACCATTGGGCTACTCATACCAAAAGCCAAACCTCTCACTAAAGCAGCAACTGTTACATCGCAGCCTCAAGCTGGCAAATCCTGCTTTGGATCCTGGCAGAGGAAATTCAGCCGTTCATTAGCCTTAACAAGCTGCTGTCACTGAGCAGAGAAGTTACAAGAGCAGCCACACACCAAGCCTCTCTCAAGGGCAAGTGGGTGTCTCCAGGACGGACTGGACAAGTTCACACTTTCGATGTGCAAATCCAGACCATCTTCTTGGACTTTCCATGGTGCATATTGTTGGGTTTTTAAATACCCATCTGTCCCCCCCACCCCACCCCCCACCATCTTTCCTGCAGAATGTCCCCTCAGCAGCTTCTAATCCCTGCTGGGGGAAAAGAAAAAAAAAAAAAAAAACACTTTTTTTGCAGTAGACCCAGCACTTTCCACTGACCAGCATTTTCTTTATTCCACTTCACAAAGCCCAGTGAACTTATCCCTAGCCCTGCTTCATCCTCCCTGGGACGCAGAGCCAACTTGGCATGGGTGCCCTTCAGCATCCTAGGAGTTTCTTAACTAGTCCTCCAAGACAAAGTCAGAGGCGTGGAAGCACACACCACCCTTTGTCTGAGGTTTTGCTATCTAACTGGAGAGGGACCCCAAACAAAAAAAGAGAAACAAGGACACATGTAGAGGGTGTTTTTGTTTTTTTTTGTTTTTTGTTTTTTTTTTTTCCTTAGAGGCATTACACTGGGGAAACCTACAAGGAATTGTCAGCCTAAGATAGACACATCTTCCCGTCCTCCTTGTAGATATCCTTGAGTACCTTTTGTCACTGGGCTCCTCTCCCTAGGTCCACATTCTAATCTCAAAATCAAGCTCCTGTTCTTTATTGACACTCGCTAATTACTGGGAAAACACTCCGCTTTGCTCCCCCCACCCCATCTGACAGTCGTCAGCAGCAGTTGAAATAGATGAACCTGATTTAAGGTACCAAACAGGTAGAGCTCCGTGGATGTAGAGATGTGGTATACTGTCAGCGATCGCTTCTAAAGCCCGAAACCACCTTCCCACCCGGCTCCTCCGAACCCCAAAAGTTCGGCAGGTCTCCGCTGGGGGACAGGGGTGTGCGCAAGGATGTGTGTTGGTGACTGAAACACAGGCAGCTCGGACCGGCTGCTCAGCTCGGCACACTAAGGGGTTAGGGGTGGGTGGAGAGGTAAGCGCATATGACTCTTTAAGAAAACATTTTAAACAACATACAGCCAAAAAGGAAAAAAAAAAAAAAACATAAAACAAACAAAAAAAATTTCAACCCAGAGCCCACACCAACGCAGCCCCTGCGTCTCCGCCGCCACCACACGATTTACACAAGTAATTTAAATCATTCACCTGCTGCCAGGTCTCCTCCAGGGATGGCAAAGCTGAGAAGTAGCCGGTGTCGTGGACAAGTTGTAGCTCCTGGAATATACTATAACTAGCCAACACGTCCATGCTGCTGCTGCCGGGCAAAACGGGAGGAGAAACCCTCCCCCGAGCACAGTTGGGTCTGTTTGTTTGTCAGTCTGTCTGGCTCACCCCCCAAGAAGGCAGACATCCAGTGGCCCTTTTGTTTTGTTTTGTTTCAGTCAACTAAAAAGAAAAAAAAAATCAATGCAGGAGAGAGGGAGAGAGGAGGTGAGAGAGGAGAGAGTGAGTGGGGTGGATGGAGAGAGGCATCCAGCGTGTACAGTGCAGATGACTGCCAGGAAAAGGGGACTTCACGGGAGTAACAATTCCCTTCCAGGGCTCTAATCACTCCAGCTCGTGGATCAGGAAGGGGATGCAAACTCACTGACACGAAGCTGCCATCTATTTCTGCAGCGCTGTTCGCTCCTAATGCAATCTTTGCTCTTTATTTTGGGAGGTTGCATTTTTTTTTTTCTCGCGATCGCTTCTCTCCCCCTCACCCCTTCCCTTCCCTCCCCACCCCCCACCCATCCTTGCTAGTTTGTAGTCTTCCCCCCCCCTCCCAACCCTTTCTCCTCCTCCTGCTCTTCCCCCTCCCCAAACTCCCTCCCTCCTCCCGGCTCTCCGCGCAGCCGTGGGATCTCGGAGGAGGGCATCCATTAGGCCGCGTGTGACCATGTAAGGTAAACAGGGGGCTCATGAAGTCACTGAGGACCAATAGGGAGCTCGGAGCGGGCCCCGGGGCGGGGCTTGGCCCTGACGGCCCGCGCGGATTGGCCCGCAGCGGATCTCCCTGCTGCCATACAAGGCGGTGAGAGGCGAGCTATTTTTAGAGGGCTATATAAGGGGGCTGAGGCGGCCGCCAGGCGGCCTGGGAGCATGAGCGCCGGGGAGGGCTGTGGCGACGCTCGCGCCGGCTCCCGGGATGCCGAGGCGGCCGCACTCGGGCCGCGCGCCGGCCTCCGACCCTCGCTAGGCTGCCCAGCGAAGCCCCTTGGTGACGGGAGCCTGAGCCCCTCGGAGCAAGGGGGGGGGGGGGGTCCGTGTCGCCACTGTGGCTTTGAGGCGGCCGGTCAGGAGGTGCCAGTCCAGAGTGCTGGGTTAGGATGCCTCCTGGAGGAGGAAAAGGGAGGAGAGCCGCGGAGAAGCTGTCAAGGGGAAAGTGACACTTTGCACTCTGCCTCCCTCGCAGGCACCGGACGAGGGGCCGCGAGGGAAAGCGATGCAAAGGGGTAGTGTCACGTACTACAAAGTAAACAAAAAAAATAAAAATAAAAAAGCACCAAAAGCCCTTTAACGAATTCCCCACAGGATCCCAGGCTACAGAGAAGCAGCTCCGGAGGAGGAAGTGCCTCACAATGGCAGAGAACAAAGGGGAGCAGCACAGAGAGAGCGGCCTGCGCCCGCCCCGGCGCGGTGCGCAGTCCCCGCCCCGACCCGCGCGCCGCGGTGCGCGCGGCCGACACCGCCCTCCGGCGTGTTTCTTCTGACCCCAGTCCGAGACCCTCCTCCTGATGCCCAGCTAGAGTAGATTGAAAACGTGCCTGCCCTGGAGTGGGCGTTAAAGAGAAGAGCGGGAGCCAGCCTAGACCTGCCCCCCCCCGCCCCTGGCTGGGGACTGGCAGCTTGCTAAAGGGTCTTTATGTGAGGCTTACCGTATGGCTTTGGCGAGGGGGTCTATGCAGAGCGAGGATGAGAAGCTGAGGAACCCGATTGTTTTCTGGAGCTGGGATATAGAGATAGATTCTGTTATCTCTAAGATAAAACCCCTGCACAGTACGTGTTGTTTGAGTTGACCAATTGTTTGCTTGACCTTAAATGGTTAGTGTGGTTCAAGCTTCTCCAAAATGCACTGCTAGCTGAACTTCTACTTTTGAGATGATTGCAGAATTCAGCACTTAAGAGATGAGAAACTTCCTTGTGCCTTTAGTGGAAAAAATAGACTTACCTTGATCGCCTTCTTCACCTTTCCCTGCCTTTGACCATGAGGGCCTCCATATCACAATATTTGAAAGATTGTTTTGTGGAACAAGCACAACTTGAAATATAGTTCCAGGGGAAATTAAACAAATTACTGGAATTGAAGAAGGGATAGTTTATTCACTTGTTAATGTCTGGAATTCTGCTGGTCGTATTTACAGCATTCATTGTATAATTGGCACATTTACTCTAAGGTAGATGCATGGAATGTGCTGCCACTCACTAGCTGCATGACTTTCAGTGAATTACTGGGTCAAAGCTTCTGCCTACGGTCTCAGAAACAGGAATACTGATATGTGCCTTGGCCAGTTGTTATCAAGAGTCAAAATGACATTTGTGACTCACCTAGCATAGCATCTGGCACTACTAGGTGAATACTAGGTGTTACTATCATTGCCTCCAGACTTTAGCTAAGTGTACTAAATAACATATGAACTAATAGGCCCCATGGGGAACATGCCAGAATCATCCAGATAGAGAGAAAGCAGAAATCCCTTGCTAATTTGTTGTAAGATCTTGCCTTCTTATCCTCCCCACCCCATGCTATCTTTGGAAGACCAGGGTGCACTTAGCAGGAAGCCATTGAGAGGCACTGGGGTAGAAGATATGTTTCTGAGTTACAGGGAAATGAAATGAACTTAGATACAGGGAAAAAGGCAAGTCAACACCAAAGCATATAATTTGGTGTTTGTGACTCAAGGAAATTAAGTTTTTTATTTTGTTACAATATTAACATTTTTTAACAAAGTATGACATTTATTAACTTGTGAGTTTCAAGACTTTATAAATACTAGTACCATTTATTAAGCACTTACTGTGTGTACCTAAATGTTCCATATGCTATGTCTCATTTAATCCTCAGAACACCCCAAAGGGTAGGCATTTACATTATTCCAAACCTCTTGGATAAAGATACCCAGACTAGGAAACATTAAATAAGTTTGTCAAGTTCATACAACCAGGAAATGAGCAGGCAAGTGGTTCCAATACAGTATCAACCGACTTCCATGACTGCTCTGAACTGGATTCTGCATAGTGAAAGATTGAGTTTCTTGGCTTTAAGACAAAATGTTTATAAAAATTGGGTGAGGTTGGGGAACTGCCATTGAGTAGCTATCAACCACCCAACTTACCAAAGGGGTGGGGGGAACTCAACCAAAATTTCACAACGTAAATCATGCAAGTCTCATTATGAAGTTTTTTTGAAAGCATTATAGAATGTTTCAAAATTCATTCTAAGAGATGTATGCAACAAGGTGTTCCAAAGAGTACATACATTTTCAGTATTCCTTGTATTTAGCTACTATATATATCCTAGAGACCCTAGGTTCTTGTTGCAAAACACATGCAAATTATCCAAATATACAAAATAACCAACAAATTAAGATCACAAAAAACTTTGGCAGTCAAGCAAACCAAAAATAAAGTACACAATTATAACTGCTGCAAATTGAATGCCTTCTCAGTTCCCAGCATCTTGCACATATTCATATCAGATCTTCACCACTATCATGTAAGGGAGCTATTGGTGGTCCGTTTTTACAGGTGAAGATTCTGAAGTTCAGAGAGCACATGTAATTTACCCATTACCATATGTCCGTCAGGTAGCTGAAGCAAATTCAAAATATGGGTCTGCCTCCAGGTTGATTGCAAAGTATGTGTCCTGTACAAGTATTGCCTTGGGAGACACTGATGATCATATTCTAATCATATCACCTTTTGGAAGTAATCCAATAGGAAACACCTAAGAATAAATAATACCCCCTAAGAACTCAGGAGGATAGTTTAAAAATAAAATAGAAAAAATTTAATATATAAATACACACAACCAAGTCATCAGATTGTTAGCAACAACAAAGTTGTGCTTCATTGCTACAGAGGCTACTATTATCCTGATGTGAGAGTACTGGTAAAGTCTCCTCAAAGGAAACCTATTTAAAACAGGAACCAAATTTTAGAGCAATTAGTGAAAGAAGTTTGCTTGGAACTTTATTGGACAATAAAACTCAGTGTTATTAAGCATTATTCTACACTATATTGAACAAAATTTATGTTTAAAGTAAAACGATGTGCTAATTGCAGAATGAATAAATAGTGAATCAAGAAAATTGCTGTAGGGCTGGGGCTCAGTGGCAGAGTGCTTGCCTAGCATGTGTGAGGCACTGGGTTCGATTTTCAGCATCATATAAAAATAAACAAATAAAATAAAGGCATTCTGTTCATCTTCAAGAGAAAAAGAGGAGGAGGAGGAGGAGGAGGAGGAGGAGGAGGAGGAGGAAATTTAAAAAATTGCAGTAGGCTTAATTTTGCCTGCAAAATGTGAAGCCCCTGCTGGGGTTCAGAACAAGACACCTCAAAGCATGATACCTTGGTATGCTGAGTATTTTGAGTTGAAGGAGACTGGGAGAGCCACAGAAGCAAGAAGACTTTTCTGGCCTTCCCCTGTCTCTCCTTTACTCCCACAAAGAGGGTCACAGAAACTAGAATTCCTCACCTCTGAAGTGAGCCAAAAGACTAAAAGGTCATTCTCTGACTTCCCACTTCTCCCCTGAAGATCCTCAAATGACAGGAGTCCTGCCCCATACCCAGAGAGGCCAAAAAGAATCTGAGTAAACAGAACTCGCTAACTGTCCCCTGGTTTGTTACCATCAGGTCATGCCCGCTGTTTCACTCAGCTTCTTCACTGCTGTGACTAAAAGACCCGACCAGAACAAAGTTAGAAGAGGAAAAGTTTATTTGAGGGCTCACAAGTTTCAGAGGTCTTAGTCCATAGAAGGCCGGCTCCATTTCTCAGGGCTCAAGGTGAGGCTGAACATGATGGAGGAAGAGTGTGGTAGAGGAAAGCAGCTCACATGATGATCAGTAAGATGAGAGAGAGAGAGAGAGAGAGAGAGAGAGAGAGAGAGAGAGACACTCCACTCACCAGATACAAATATCCCAGAGCCACGTCCCCAATTCCCACCTCCTCCAGCCACACCCTACCACTTCAGTTACCCCTATCAGGGGATTCATTTAATGATTGGGGTTAAAACTCTGACAACCCAATCATTTCTCCTCTGAACCTTCTTGCATTGTCTCACCTGTGAACTTTTGGGGGACACCTCACATCCAAACCATAACATCCCTTTTATCTAATCATACTTCCACATGACTGTCTATTCTTCATCAAACCTAAGCATAAATTCAGCTTTTCCTAGATCTTTGGGCCTTCATTTCTGAAGACTCATGCATCATGTAAAGCTTTGATTAGATTAATTGCTTATGCTTTTCTTCCGCTCCAGTCTTTTGTTAAAGGCATGTTAGCCATGAACCTCATGGTAAGTGTGAAAAAGACACCTTTTCTCCCCTATGCACATTACAACATGCTCTGTTTCATAATTGACTTTTACAGCCTAATCCAAAGGAGGATCGTTTTGTAAAAATGTTAGAGGGCATCATCTGTTTCCCCCAAGGGTCTCAGCTCTTTGATATTCGAATTATTCTTTCTGAAGCAAAAGTGTGGTCATCTTCTCTGTTAACTTTTTTGTT